GGGTACTCGAAAATCCAGCGCGCGCGCACTCCATAGGCGGCCCCCAAACTACTGAAAACCCCATTCTAACACCTGCGCGACACAGCCAGGGACCATACACAGCACGGGCATCGATTTTTGCTCACTTTCAGGCAAACCTTTAGTCCTAATACCGCCGAGGCGCGCAGGGCCTCACCAGAGTGCCCTTCTGTCCGACATCGCGGTGGGTATACCCACCGGCGTCAACTAATTTTTCATGTCCCAACTTTTGTCTACATTTTGACCCGCTTTTGTCCAAATTGTACCCACATTTGTTCACTTACGGACGGCGGAAATCGAGCGGAAATCGACCTCCACGTCACCGCACGGCAGAACATCGAATAACCTCGGAACGTCTCGGAACCTCCCAACACCGTATCCATGGCTGCCGACTGCGGACCGACCGCGGAGGAATATGTCAGACACATGCCAGGCCCCTTCGGTACCGGCACGGGAGGATACCAGGCACGGGAAGATGCCCGCGGCAAGCCCGGCAAGCAGCACACTAACGGCACACGCCACAAATAAATGCGTGACACACAACGGACAACAAAACCAACGGGCGCGCATACAGACAGAACAAAAAGACGCGCATACAGCAACAACACATTCACACAAAAACACCAACCACCACAACGACGAGGGCACACCGACTCGTGAGGGCAGCGCAGCATGTCGATGCGGTTGACCCTGCAGGGCGCCCGCTCAGGGCCAAGCACGGGCGCACCACTGTCAACTGCTGGCGGCGCCATGGTTGAAGGGGCAACTTTTGCGACGGGTGGGTTTTTTGGGGATGTCAAGCCGGATTTTCACGTCGTACATGAATACACAATATGAATGTTGTGCATTTGAATACCCTATTACTATGATGTTACGTCAAACTACATCGACATGCTGCTGCTGCCCTCACGAGTCGGTGTGCACTCGTCGTGGTGGTGGTTGGTGTTTTTGTGTGTATATGTGTTGTTGCTGTATGTGCGTCTCTTTGTTCTGTCTGTATGCGCGCCCGTTGGGTTGTCCGTTGTGTGTCGCGCATTCATTTGTGGCGTTTGCCGTTAGTGCGCTGCTTGCCGGGCTTGCCGCGGGCATCTTCCCGTGCCTGGTATCCTCCCGTGCCGGTACCGAAGGGGCCTGGCATGTGTCTGACATATTCCTCCGCGGTCGGTCCGCAGTCGGCAGCCATGGATACGGTGTTGGGAGGTTCCGAGACGTTCCGAGGTTATTCGATGTTCTGCCGTGCGGTGACGTGGAGGTCGATTTCCGCTCGATTTCCGCCGTCCGTAAGTGGACAAATGTGGGTGAATGTGGACGAAAGCGGGTCAAAATACAGACATATGTGGGTACATGAAATAACTAGTTGACGCCGGTGGGTATACCCACCGCGATGTCGGACAGAAGTGGGCACTCTGGTGAGGCCCTGCGCACCTCGGCGGTATTAGGGCTAAAGGTGTGCCTGAAAGTGAGAAAAAATCGATGCCCGTGCTGTGTATGGCCCCTGGCTGTGTCGCGCAGGTGTCAGAATGGGGTGTTCAGTCGTTTGGGGGCCGCCTATGGAGTGTGCGCGCGCTGGATTTTCGAGTACCAACTTTTGTCCGAGAAAGGGGTGGGTATGATGCCCACTTGTGTCTATTTCCTTTCGAAAATGTGTATTCCCCAGTACATGGTGCTTGTATGCGCTCCTTTACCGTTTCGGACCAAGAGGACCAATTGGAACTAAAGACTTCATGGGGTAGACTAGAAACCAAACCTATAGTCTACTCGCACTTTTTGCACTTGGCCTTTACTGGTAGGTATGATACGCACGTGTGGTTGTCGGATACCTGACCACTCTCCATGAACGAAGGTTGATCTTCGATTTTTGATGCCCGCGTGTATTGAGTGGCGAGTTGTGAAAGGTTGTCGCTGCTCTCCCACAATTTCGTAGCTCATTCTTCTACTGAGACTGTTCGTGAAGCCCATGCTGGTCCGTGTCGAAGGGACGCAATCAGAAGGGGCCGTTTACAGGAGAGTGGTGGTGCGCAACGTCATCTGCACCGTTGGAGTTGTGATATCGTATGTCATCGGCTCGGTGTCTACGGTGGGCTTATTTCTCGTGCCTCCGTCTCAGAAGGTGCGACATCATGTTTTCATTTATGGTTGCATGTTTTTTCTTCACATAGTAAGACTGGTGTGACGAACCAGCACTGACCTGTACGGTATATGGGCCCGTCGAAAACGAGATTGGAATATTTGTCAGTCAGCTCTCCAGTCCGTCGCCTCGCAGCCAGCACAGCCAGAACACAACAACCCCCTTTGAGAATGACCAACATATCAGACAGGGCTGGCGTCCTTGGCCCCCAGTTGAACTATTGACATGCCGCACCAGAAGTATCATCATTGCGTGTGCATCCGGGTTGGTTCGCCTTCTCATCGTGCTACACTTTTGGTGTACCGCAGCTTCGCCAAGCCAAAGCGCGAGATTCAAATCCTATCCTGACGCTGCACATAAGGTCAAATCAGTAGGCGCCAACACATGTGGCCGTCCTTTGTATCTAGGCGATGGACTCGCTCCCACGCCGTGCCTAGAGGCTGCATACAGTTTCTGGCAGAACCGTCCCGACTCGTCAGCGGAAGCGGCCCTTTCCGCTTTCAGCAATACCAAAACTACAGCGCCGAGGCTGCTGGTTAAAATACAACACAGTGTACCAAAGCTTCGCAAGCGTCGGGTTCTCATGGGCGGCTACTCGACCTCCACTTCGGGCATAACAACTGTGTAACCACAGGTTTTGATCCTTCCGCACTGTTCCACAGCTGATACAAACCAGAGACATGACGGTGGCGATGACACAACTCGTCTCGCTATGCCTTACGGATGTGAGTAAGTCGTGCGACATGAAGCGCATGCCCCGATGGCCTCAATGCCCTCCTACCCCAACTTGGGTCTTGAATTTTCCACGCAGCAGATACTTTCGTAACCAAGCGTCGACGACTACGGCTTCAAAGGCCTTTCTCGCACCGATCGAGGGGAAATTATGGCGAATACATCCCATGTAGTCCATTACGCATCAAAGTGTCCTTTGATTCACTAGACAACTGAGCAAGTCTGCCGACGATGCGTAGGGCGGTTTCTTTGGCTGCTCCCATACCGAGTAGGGCATCCCAACACTCTTGAGGGCGAAGCATCTTAGGATGATGGTATTGTCCTGAAGGTGCCTACTACATCCCCAACGAAACAGAAGGATAGCCACCAAGAGACGCCCCGTCTTGTGACTTCCCCGCTGTGTGTATTTGTCGTGCTGCAGATCGCTCTGCCTCTCGGGTTCAGTAGCTGCATGAAGGAATGCTCTGCGAGGAGGACAGTCACGAGAAATGCGACTACCAACCAAGGGCTAGAAGAGACTACGAAGCTGGGCCCTGCAGCCGCTGGCACGAGCACCATTACCAGAAGAATAGTTCCCCTGGATGAGCTTCCACCGCTAACACCGTAGATAGTTGTCATGCCACCCGTCGATGCGCCGAAAGGGGTCACTAGCGACACGTCGCATGCTGCTTGACTAGGTTTTCCGGCTGTTGAATTTGTCGCGACTTCAACAAGGCCAATACGTCGCTCGTCGACAGTACTGCCTGTGTTCTTGTTGCTTCGTTGTAGTGCTGCCGAGGCGTCGGAGGCGTGTCTGTCTGCAGAATCGACGACGAGGTTCGTTGATGAAAGTCTTCGTGGTCGTTGCATTCGACAAGAGGCACCACATGTGAGTGGGCCAGCCTTGCTGCGGGCTAGATGTTGGTAACCGTTGCGCACACGAGGGGGGCAAGAAACCAACCGCAAAGCCTTGGAGTAGCGCATAGTCCACGGGCAGTAATTTGGTTCTTTGGGCATTAAGGGCTTCATGCTGTGGGGGGGGTGTACGCGTCTACGAGCAGGAACGCGAGCAACACGCCACCAGCAAGGGTTTCGTAGCGGAGCAGGCACTTTTTGCTCTCTAGCTTGTTTTCGATTCGATTTTTACTTCGCGTGGTCTTGCGGTTTTATGACGTTGCTTGTCACGTGTGTGTGTGCACAGCATATGTTATTTTTCCTGATGAAAGTCTACAAACAACAACATAGGTGGGATAGTTGTGGGGTTGTTTGTGTTGTTACAGAGGATGAACACACTTTTTTTAGTCAGCGTCTGGTCATGACGATACGTCAAGCATTCGTGTTTATCTTTCATTACGTTGGGTGATTTTTTGCACAGCTGATGGTACTTGACCGCATGTTCCAACGAGGGAGGAATCACAACGAAACAGAACCATCCGGGGACGCTGTCAAACGTAGGGGGCGACCGTGGCGCGCAAAACTCAGCATGTCCCACCCTGGCGTCCGGGAGGTGTTTGTGATGAAGTGGCGTTGTTCGAACTCTCAAGGGTGATACGCCTACAGAGCACTCGGATGAACAGAAGTGAACCATAATGACTTGTGCATTGGTTTCCGCTTCTTGTACGATGGTACAATCCCAACCACCCCTGTACCATCGCTGATGTCCGGACATTCTAACATCCAAGTCGGCATCCTGAATCTCTTAACCGACAGCTGAGCAATCCGGTAAACGTTTGTCGAACACCCTTCTCCAGCTCACGCCCAGCAGGGGCGGAAAAACCTTCTACTGTATCGGCAAACGCGTAGCACAGGAACTTTCAGTCCTCTCACGGTCGTCAGATCCCCGAAGATCCCTTCCGGCAGAGTGGTTAGGGCGTTATCCCACAGGTACCTGTTTTGGGTTGTGAGGGAACGCGACAAGCGGAGCAGAGGCGACAAGGCTACCATTCACTATACCAGGGATGGGTAGTTGATCAAGATGCGGAGATGGCCTCACGACATCGAATACACCAGCAAAGCCACGGAGTGTTCGTCACCGTATGATCACCTGGGTGCGGTTGCTATGAGAACCAAAAGGACGCAAATGTCCATCACTCGCGATCCCGCGGTACGTACAGCGGAGGCAAAGGGACTTGCCGTGCTGTCACAATTTTGGACACACTTCTGCACTGGAAATACTGATGACACGAGGAATTATCACCCAGGGGCATCTGAAGGTTAGACGGGGAGCTTGAGTAGAAACAACGCCACGTGGGTAAACAATGCTCGGGGGAAATACAAAAAAAAAAGGGGTGTCGGAAGGTATTCGTCTCATAGAAGTTGCCTTATGCACGTCTGAGTAGAGTAAATGTGCCGATTAAGGACCACGTAACGGAGCGCCCGCTCTGAGAGGTCGTTCTCGGGTGTCTTGACGATTTGTGGCGACAGAGAGGTATCGAACGTTAGCTTATAACACGACCTTAACGATGAAACAACAAAACAAAAAAAATGCATGTGGTGATGACATGGTGCCAGCCTAGTATTCTTCATTTGTCAGGGAAAAATACCGGTAAAACACAAATGCCCCGTGATTGCGCACGTTTTAATGATTTCCAGAACTTTTTCTTTGGCACGTATCGTTATGGTAGTAATACAAAGCATTTCCGAAAAAAATATTTAAGGAAAAATGCATGCCCGGGGACAAAAACAAGAAATCCCCGTGTTTTTTTGCCTGTTTTTGGGCCAAAAATGGCCTACTTTGGGCACCACTCAAAGAGATTTCAAGTGTTTTTTGCCCGTTTTTTCTTCGGCACCGGGGCAACCACCCCTAGAATAGACACCATGCAAATTTTGATGTCATCCGGGTTGATTTAGTCTCTATCTGACATACAGACGCGATTTTTGCCCCCATTTGGACGAAAATCGAGGGGGCAAAGTAGAAAAAAAAAGGAAAAAAAAGCGGATGAAAAGACAAAATGCACGACCCAAGGTTCGAGCCTGCCTCGTACTGGGTCTGTGGAGAGCCAAAAAATACTAGACAAAATAGTCGGCCACGCATTTTCGGAAAACTACCATTATATAGGTCAATATTATAACCTGGCTTAGCCGGAGCCACCACACAGCACCAAAAAAAAAAAGCGATTATCACCTGGCGCAGAATGCTGTGTAGAACGAAGTCCTCCATCAAATTGAGTAAACTTAGGCTTAAATGAAAGGTGAGGTTCATAGCAACACGAAGAGAAAAACAGAAAGGCTTTTCGCGATGGTATCGGCAAGATATGTTTTTTTTTTTAAAGTGGTCTCTATTAGGGGGGTGGTCCTTAATACCCACCCTTACTCTATATCTCAGGACTAAAATAATATGGCGTACTGTCATAGATAGGCCGAATAAAGCAGGGCTCGACTCCCAGAGAGGAGAGGAACACCCAACCGACCAAAAACTGAAACACCCGGGGCGTTCTCAAACGTAAGGGAGCGATACTTGCGCGAGAAATGCTACAGCGTTAGGAAAGTATTGGCGATGAACCAGCCGTGTATGTACTTCTGCGGCAGCCTCATGGACGAGAAAACACCTGAGGGGCTTCTGAGTGGCGGGAAAACTTGACAAGCAGCAACAATGCTACTTCGGTCAACCGTTCCCAAAAGTGAAAGAAACTCCCGGTGCTTTAGGCATACTGTATAGATATTCGGTTGCCTCAGGTACGTCTAAGTACATCTCGTGACTGAGGTGGCGTACCGTGATCTATTGGCCCACCCAAGAACGACTGGAATGTTTCGTATCGATCTTGGCCGGGTCCCCTGAGGGGAGAGGAAGCACAACGAAAGTGAACCATTCGTCGACGTGCTCAAACGTAGGGGGCGACCGTTGCACGCAAAACTGAGAGCGTCCCACTTAGGCGTTCCGAAGATCTGCGTGATCAACCGGCGCTATTCGTGTTCCGGCGGCAGGGCGGACTCTTATGGGTGGTACATTGGGTACCACGTCTGAAGCGCCTGCACAGCACTCGGATGAACAGAAGTGTACTGCGACGACCCTTACATAGATTTGCGTTTCCAGCAAGATGGCACACTCCCGAGCATCCCTGAACTATCGTCGGTGTCCGGATGTTCTGATATCAGCATGCCGAACACCCTTAGCAAGATGCAGCGCATCCTTCATGCGACTCGCCGAATACCTCACGGCGCTTCGTGCTTGGTGATGTGAGAGCCTGGTCCGGTGAGAACCCGGCGTGCTCCGTCCCGGC